CCTCCTCTCTCTCTCTCCCTCTCTCTCTCTTCCCCTCTCTCCCTCTCTCTCTCTTCCTCTCTCTTCCTCTCTCTCTTTCTCTCTCTCTCTGATTCTTTTTCACGCTGCAAATTAATTGTCGTATTTTTTGTCATCTCTCATTTTTCACTTCAAATAAGGTAAATATCAGTTTTCTCCATCGCCCAGGTATGCCGTTTATTATTAATTTTAGTCATTCTTCTTGCATTACAATCTATATTTATCATATCAGATATTTACGCTTCCAAAATTTGTCACTGCATTATTTCCGTTAAATTTTGCGAATTTTCCAATTTTCGTAAGCAAGGCGATCTGTATGATTTTTCTGCATACGGAAATTTATTCTAGATATGTCATCAAGTTCAGAGAATCTTTTATTATGATAAACTGTTAATGGATGCGAAAGTCTAGAAAGAAAGGAACCGGTAGTCTAGAAAGACATTGTTAGGTGATATTGTTTTCGAACATTTGGGCTGAAGAAAAGAAAGGAACCGGTAGTCTAGAAAGACATTGTTAGGTGATATTGTTTTCGAACATTTGGGCTGCAATTTCAATTTGTGGCCAAGGACTCCCATACATTTTTTCCATTCTGCATTGTTTGTGGTATGACTTGCGAAGCGTAAATGTTTGATATGATAAATCTGACATCGAGGAATATGACGACACTTAAGTTATGCGATACCTCAGTTTGCTGACCAGTCATTGGCTCTAATCAGTACATTCGATAAATTTGTAACTAATCTTCTTCAGTTTTACTATTTTACTACTATTGGTCATTTCGAAAGTATTTAAATTGCTATCTCTTGGTGAATAAAAAATTTCTAAAAAAAACTGTGGTGATCGTGTCAGCCTCACTGTTAAATCATTAAAAAAAGACCGAAAGTTCGAGTCTGATCACTTATTTAATTTTTTAATGCGTGAAAAGTGACATATACTCCTATGCCTTACTATAACTTTAAACGTTAGCGTAGAATGACAATATATGATATGATAAATCTAAATATTTGAAATTTTCTGCAATATTATATAATTGTTGTTTTCTGAAAGCGTTTTCTCCATAATTACATGTAGTTATTGAACTATTTCATCATTGTTTATAGGTGTTTAGGATATCCATATTTCTCTGAAATTTTCATGTTCAAATTTTCTTCATTTGCTATTGTGATGATAATTGCAATGCGGCCAACTGCAGTTGTTAATCCTATTAGATTAGGAATGGCAAAAAGGCTTAGGATAAATTGTATCTGTTGCGCAACGAAATTGTTTGCTAGCATTCGTACTTCAAGCGATCGATAACTATGTTTTCAAACTGTCTCTCCATACTTATTTCAGAGAATTTCCATTTCTGATATGATTGATTTTGTTGTTGGTGTGCAATTTGCCTGTCCATTAATCCCTCAGTTAGAAGGATCTTATTAAGTACGTAATTAATTCACTTTGAGGTATCAGTACGTTAAGTCTTAAAAAAACGAAGTTCGATGCTCCCATTACTATCACTGCAACTACTTATTAAACATTTTTCGTTTAACATTCGTGTAGATTCTTGAGTATTAACTATTGCCTGCATAGGCAATCAAGTTCTTAATTACCTAATATTAGGGACTCACTGGATTATCAGTATTGACTTGACCAGTTACTGCAAACTTATGGTCACTCTTGTTTTCGGGATGTTTTGGTTATCAATTGTTACGATTGCGATTAAAGTCGTGAAGTTCGAGTTTTATGTTTAGGTTCAATCTCAGTTAAATGTTTTTTCGTTGAAAAGTTGTTCATCTTTTATTTTTAGATTGCTGATCAAAGTGACAATGTAGATCCGTTTTTGTCTCATTACTGCTAAAAATTTGCATGAGATTTAAAATCCTGGAAATGGATAGCAAAAATAATGGAGAAGGACGCCAACTGGAGGATGTGTATATTATTTCAGCTGTACGTACTCCGATAGGTGGTTATCGTAAAATGTTGAAGAGTTGTTCACCGATGTATTTAGGAGTTGTCGCGACCAAAGAAGCAATCAAAAGAGCTGGTTTAATTTGCTACTTTAAATTACTCCATCGAAACTCGTTCTTAAAAGGCTTGAAGATATATAAGGAGAAATTCTAATCTCTAGATGCTAGGTTTTTTTAGTTTCTTAGCTTTCACTTTTACTATTTTCTGTTGGTGATATTTAAATTTTTTATTTTATTTTTACTTTATTTTTATTTTTAGAATTCTGAAGTTGTCTGGAATGTCCTTTTCAAAGTAAAAATTGTTAGTTTTCTTGATATCCAAAAAAGTATGATTATGAGTAAATAAGATATGTATTATGAAAACCTACAGAATTTAGTTTCAAGAAATGAATTGTCCTTAGCTCCATGTTTCTAGTTGGTTTGTTTTTCACTTAGATCGATCATTATGTATGATTTTCAGGGCTTTCTCCTAGTGATATCGATGAAACAGTGGTCGGTTGTGTGCTTACTTCATGTCATGGGCAGAATATCGCTCGACAGATTTCAATCAATGCTGGCAATGTTTACTGATATTTTTGAAAAATATTCAAATTAATAACATCGACCGAAACTTTTTAGATTCTTTTACATTCTAAGTTAAATTTAGATATTCCGGTGACGTCGCCAAGCGTGACTGTCAACAAGGTATGTTCATCGAGTATGAAGGCAATCATCATGGCTACTCAAGCCATTCATCTGGGTGATCGCGATGTTGTCCTAGCGGCAGGTACTGAAAGTATGAGTAATGCTTACTATGGAGTACCTCGCGGTGACAACAACGACATGAGTAGTCCTTTTATAGTAAGGTTTTGGGATTTAAATCTAAAATGTTGATTTAGTCATTTTTCAAGTTTCTGTGTTACATATATCTCAGATTTCTAATTTCTTTTTGCAAGTACTGGTAATTTTCAGGATAGTATGTTTGAGGATGGTTTAAACGATGCGTTCACAAAATTAAGGATGGGCGTTTGCGCTGAAAAAACCTTCTCCGAATACTCAATAAGCCGTAAAGAGCAGGATGAGTATGCGTTGGAAAGCTATCGGCGGGCTCATCATGCCTGGAAGGTATATTTGTTACGTGATATTCCGTAGTGTTAGTTTTCGGATTTGTCAGTGCATCATATTTTCGGCTTATAGGATTTCAAAAAAATCCGTTTGAAGGAAGGTTTATTTGATGAAGAAGTTGTACCAGTGAAGTGTTTTGATTCAGTTGAAGTGTTTCAAGATGAAGAATATAAAAGACTGGATCCTTTGAAGGTAAGCATTTAATATTCTTTCCATTTTACTGTTCTTGTCTACGTTTCTAAGAAAAAAAAAACGCGTTGTATCTATATGGATTCTGCCTCTTCTTTTTTCATTTAAATATAAAGTGTGAATTCGATCTCTCGTTCTTTATCATTCTTTAGTATTCTAGAAAATTACTATTTCAGAACTTCTGTTGGAGTTATTGTTTATCACGTTCGATGATTTCTAGGTTCCTTCCCTGAAACCTGCCTTCATACCAGATACAGGAACCATAACTGCAGCAAACGCTAGCGCTATTAGCGATGGAGCAGCTGCACTGTTGATTGCAAGCAGTAGTTTTGTAGCTCATCGAGGTTGTCAGCCAATAGCGCAAGTGTTGGGCTATGCAGAAGCTGCACTTGAACCGGTGGAATTTACTCGTGCACCTTCTGTTGCTGTAAAAAGGGTCAGTTTGTAATTAAGATAATATTGGCAGTTTTTTTACTACTTAATACTTATTTACTCTGTCACTGTTCCACATTTCTTTGTTGAACAGGTAGAGAGTGAACATTTTGCACAACCGGAAATTTTCTTTGCAAAACTCTTTGAGATTTTTAAAGTTACTTTTGAAAATTGGCATTTCGGTGGAAGAAGTTTCCTTATGGGAAGTAAATGAAGCGTTTGCTGCGACTGCCATTGTTTTCTTGCGTGATATGGGTTTGGATAGCAGCCGTGTTAATGTTCGTGGTGGAGCTGTTGCACTCGGCCATCCGATTGGGTTTGTTGTTTTTTGTTTAGGTGTTTTAAAATTTCCATTCTGCGAATTCGCGGTTTTAGCCCCATTGACAACCTAAGAGTGAATTGAAATAAGTGACGATCCTCTAGTTTTGTAGAACAACTTGTTTTGTCCTTGGCCATATATAGTTTAAAATAACTTAGCCGATAGGAACTATAATAAATATCTGAGTAATGTTTTAAATATTTTTCTTGCAACATTATTTAATGAGGGAAATGTAATCATTACTAGATAATCTGCTGAGCTAGAAATTTAACGTCCACATTTACGCTCCGATAGTTACTGTCTCATTCATATTGCCAAGTGAAACTTCGCAACTAGAATCGTTTAATTTTTTAAAGTGATCATTTATCCTCTTTGTAATTTATAAGTTTTTACTTAAGCATTTCCTTTACTTTTTCGTTTGCTACTTTCTCCCAATCTGTTTTACATATCCAATTTCGATTCGCTGTTTGCTGCAAGCTAAATCTTTTTTTTTTTTTTTTACAGAGCATCTGGAGCACGAATAGTTGTGACGTTGATCCATGCACTTCAAGTCAATCAAATTGGTATTGCAACAATATGTAATGGCGGAGGTGAATCGACCGCTGTGGCAGTGAAACGACTATAAGTATTGGTAAAAAAAGTTGTAGAATTCAGTCATATTTACATCATTAATTGTACTTTTTGTTAAAACTGAGAAATGACCTTTAATAAAGCCTAGCATTTGATATTTCAAGGGCTGCTCTTTATTAACCACGATGCTTCTTTCCTCTTTATATACTTCCAGTGGTTTCATGGAAGTGCAGTAAAACTTCTCATCTGGTGGATATAGTTTTTTCCGGTTTTTAATTTGTACATTCAGACATTGCTCAGTTGGAATTGCTATGTTTTTGTAATATTATTTCTCGGTGCAATTCAAATGAAATGAAGTCACTATTGATCTTTTTATTAATGAAATAAAAAAAGTCGTTGTTTGAGATGGGATAATTAAAATGAAATGTTTGAAGAAGTGGGAAAAGATGTCAAATTTTAATTTAAATTGCCGATTGTTTGATTTTGTTTCATTGTGGGGAAAATGAAACCGAACCCTATGTTAGCCGTTAAAAGTGACTAAACGAAATTGGCCAATTTTTATTAACCTCATGGTATAATCAAACGAGTGAGTTAATGTTATTAATTTTCTCGACTCCAGGGATATAATTTTTGGACGATAATATAAAACTTCCCTTAATTTTGGTGGTAATTGAAATTTGAACGGTTGGGAAATGTTATGTTTTCAGAAGGAATGTGATATACATATGTTAATTTGGAAATAACTGATAACGAGGTATTTGAATAAAGTGATGAGTGTGCTTTACGATAAAATGAGCCAACTAATGATAGAATTTGTTCTGCAGTAATCTCGAAAGACCAACAAGCCAACTAGCTATTAATAAAAAATGCATGCTGTAGGGGAGCATTGAAATGCGTCTCATGGATATTAGATATAATTAAACAATGGTGCTGTGCAAGACTGGGCTTTTTTCTCCGAAATTCAATTTTCACTTATCGGTCCCAATAGTCACATAAGTTTTTTCTTTCTTTTTTTTGACTCTCGGAGGAATATTGTTTTTAACAGTAAAAAAAGAAGGTGTCGTCATTCTGTAAGGTTTTCCTCTCAAAAAAAGCATTTTGGCCTTGACATAATCACCGACCAAGACAGCAGAATTTTTTTTTTGACTAATGAATCGGTGTTAAATTTAAGCTGTATTGGTTTAGTTGTATTTTGTTTGTTGTTCCTGTAATTCTTATCATTCCAGTTATCCTTTCCGGAATAACGTAAACGTTTCCGGATATTACTATTTTTCACATCATCTCCACATTCTCACTTGTCTCATTTCATTGTTTCCATTTACTTTGTTCAAAGGACAAAATTTTCTAAAGATGGAAATCATCCAACCTGATGCATATTCGGCTGATTGGTTTATATTGATCTATTTTAACATAACAAAAGGAATTATGCCATTTCTCATATTACATTTCCTGAACCGATAACCGAAAATCGGTTGATTAAATCGTTTTACAAGAATAATTAATAATTCTTGTAAAACGACTTAATTAAATATGTCTTATAAACATTAATTAAATTGTTCTATAAAAGTGATCAATAATTAAGTTTTCAATACAATAAATTCACATTACAAAATGTCATATTATTTTAATTAAACTGTTGCCTTCATTAGATTGTCAAAGGTATGGCTCAATTTTTCAACCTTTTTCAGCTGTTCAACGTTTAAATACAAATGGTTCAATACAAATCAACCATTACTACACATGCAAGAAAACGATTAAATCAAATTTTATACTGAAATTGTGAATTAAATCATTGAATTAAAACCATATTCTAAAATAAAAGCTAGTATTCATTTCAAGCATTTTAAGCGGTTAAGCCAATTTTCTTTTTTCTTCTTTTTGGTTTTTACTAGCAAAATTCCTTCCCAATATTTCTTAGTCCATAACAAGTATCAAATAACACTCTATGGGTGAGTGAATGATAAACTTTCTGTCATTTGCAACATTTCGACAAGTTTTTATTTTATCAAATGCTTAGCATTTTCTCCATATTCAAATCTTCTATATGATGTAAATGATCAAAGCTTAATTACTTCCAAATTAATAGTTTGATTTTTTTGTTTAATTAGCAAACGAGTACTCATATATTTCAAACATAAACTTCCGTTATCTCAAAGAGATTTGCAACTTGGATCATCCTGAAAGCATTTCATTTCATCTTGCAGCGACAATATGAATTATATCACAGCATTCGATATACAACTTAACAAAGATGTTTATTATAGCGGTGAAAGTGTATTGGGGAATGTCATCCTTGAAAATTCACAAAATATTCGTATCAAAGGTTGTTAATATGAAAGCAGAATATTCAGTGACTTATATGCTAGCAAAATAATATAATTTCTAATTAGCTTCAAATTTTGATCCATCAACTTTCTTCAAATTCGATCTCTATTTAATTGAAAGTGTTAATTACCTATCACTAAATTAGTTTGCATGGAAATTTTGACTAATCGTGATAATTGCTTCCATTCTTTAGATATCTGTGTAATTCTTCGTGGTAAAGCTCATACTCATATCGAATTAAACAAAACAGGTGAAAGACGTATCATCCAAGATGACCAGTACATATTAAACGAAAAACTGATAGTATGGGATCAAGGCAAGCATTTTTTCAAACATTCAAATATTCACTTTACAAATTTCATAGAATAAAATCTTTATAAACTAAAAGAAAACGGCGAAGAAAAAAGAAAATGAGAACTATAATTTGTGATATGAAAAAATTAATATCATAAGTTTTATCGATCGATTGATTAAAGTAAATGGTTAAATGATTAAAAATGTTCCCATCCTCCTCATTTGTCAATATTATATCAATTGTTTATCCTTCCACAGTTTTATTACGACAAAAAATTATACTAAATTGTATTCGCAAACAATTCTCGTTTTATTAGGTTCCATATTTCAGGATTTGAACAATCAGATTTTAGTTCTGATCAGCTCATGGAAAAACTACCAAATTTTAAAAACTACTACTACATTATATAAAGGAAAAAAATGAAATTTTTAGAAAAATGCGGTGAAAAAGATGAGTCGATACTACTTGATGGTTTGCACCATTTTCCGTTTCAGTTTCAATTACCACACTGTTCAATGCCATGTTCATTGGAGACGAAATTTGGGACAATACGTTATTATGTTAAGGTACGAACGGACCCATTTACCCATTTACACATTTAATACTATAAAAAGAGACACTGATAACTGATGATAAATGGTACCAAAGGTCTAAACAGACATTTGGTCACTTCAATTATATGCAAATTCGATATGATTCCTAGGTAATTATCAATATCCCAAATGGTAGCATGCCACAAGGTATCAAATATTTCACCATTATTGGACCATCCACAGATTGTATGGATGAAAAATATTGTGTAAGTCGCATAATTTCATTTTCTCTTCGCTTGAAATTAAAATTTGAATCTAAATTTAAACTTACTCTCACTGTTTACAGTGTGCATTGTTAGGACAAAACAAGGAAGTAAGATGGCACGGATGCTGTAGGCGTGGTGCATTAGCCTTAAGGTAAGATAAACATTTATAAGATGCTGAACTTGATAATTAGCCATTAGTTTTTAATGAATAATAAGTGACTGAATAATTAATAATAATTAATTAGTTTTGCTCAGTAATTTAATCAGTTGTTCCCAAGAATAGTTTAAACTTATTTTCCCGTCAAAGGTTCTACAATTTCTTATTTCTAAGTGCACAAATGAATGGATCAGTCTAATATCAAAGCAATTAGTAAAAGCGATAATTATTCCAAATTCCTCACCGCTTTTATTATTTGTTCCGCATAAAATTTTGGTTCATAAATTATTATTTTTGAAGAGTTATTATGGATCGTACAGCATATTTGTGTGGTGAAAATGTGCGAATTTTAGCACATGTAGAAAATCGACAGAATGGAATAGTTTGGATTGTAATGCGTCTAACTCAGGTTTTGTTATTTTTAATGATTTCAACTTCATCCGCAATTTTCAATTTCTAATAATTGAAGTTTCATAGCAGATCAATTTACTTAGGTTAAATGCTGAAATGACAAGATGTCCGGAAGTACATTATTCTAAAGTTATGGCTAATTCTTCATTCAACTTACTTATAGGAATTTCAAATTTATGAAACGATGGGAGAAAAAAATTGGCTTAGGATCATATTGTTTGGGTAGCGAGTACTCTTACTTTAATTCGTTACCTAAACTTTAATTATTTAAATGTCGATTTTAGCATGTGGAATATTTTGTAGAGAAGAATGCTGGAGAAAACAAACAGATCGATTGCGTAGTTTTGGAAAGCAAGTGAGTTTTGAAGTGATAATTTAAAATTAATGAAACAGTGCAATATCTTTCGATTAACTTGAAAGTCATATCTAGTGATAACTCTCTTACTGTACTGAAGAATAACAACATTGATTGAAAGTGTTAATACATCTTCGTTGTTATCAGGACATTACCTGTTCAACCGTATACGCAAGGCAAATTTGATACAGCTCAATTACAATCATTTGTCTTACCTGTTGTACCTCCAACATTGGTTGGTGTTTGTAGATTGCTGCAAATCTTCTACATATTCGAAGTAACAATTCACACGTTTTAATTTAATTGTCACTTTCTATAATTTATTCGGTATTCTCAAGATTACTAATTTCAAAAGTAGGGAAAAATGAAATCGGTGAAACTAATATTACATGGCCATGATAGCTCAGTCGGGAGAGCGTTAGACTGAAGATCTAAAGGTCGCCGGTTCGATCCCGGCTCGTGGCATCTCTTTTTCCCTTTCTCGTGACAATGATCGCTGATCTCTTTTATTTAAAAAAAAATCTTTCTGGGAAAAGATTAACAATCAAAATTTAGTGTGTAAACATGATAATTGATAACTGAATCAAAATCGATGATTCATTAAGTTTTGATTTGGTGAATTTAAATTTAAATTCAGGCTTGCGTAGAGGATGAAAAAGGCAATCAAACACTACAGATGGAATTTCCACTGACAATTGCTACATTGTCATTTCGGAAAACAACAATATCAACACCTGTGCTTGATTATGGTATGCTATTTAACAGTAATTAGAGTGGGACAAATGAACAGATTAAAAATTATCTGTTGAAAATTAGAACTTGAAATAAAATCTGGAAAAAAATGATTAAATGTTCCAAAATTCATCAATGAAAAATGAAAGAACAAAGTGTTAAAATGTAAAATTGAAGAAAAGCTATTGGCAATGGATTTTACATATCATTTTATATATATATATTCAGTGGGATAGCCTGCCTTATCATATCTTTCTTGTTCCCTAAAAGCAGTCAAAGAAAGGGAACCAATCAATAAAGCATGAGTCATCCAGGAGCTAATTATACCTGAAATTCACTTCCAGTATTTCTTAAAATCAGCAGGCACAAAATTTTTATTAATAGTTGCCTGATAATTTTGCTAAAAAAACTGAAAATCACTGATAATTTAATTCATGACATTAACAAAATTTTAAAACTTTTATTTTGACTTTCAGAAAATTTTCCCGCTAGAAAGGTTTAAAAGAAAAAAAATTGAGAAATGCAAAATATCAACCGCTCCTTATTTTTCTCAGTGACTATTTAATTATTTGAAGGGTTCTATTTAACTCTGTCTATTGCCTACTAAATTGCAAAATTGTTTGGTTAGAGTAATCAGACTGTGATTTTAACACTTAGTTATTTGTCAAGTATTACTGATAAGAAATGTTATTGGTGATATAAAAAAATAAGATTTCATTCAAAAATTTTAATCATTCAGATATCTGTTGTCCACATGTAGAAGGTGGACGTTACATTTCACCCAAATTTCAAATTGGTCGTATGCATGATGAGCAAGATATTGATATGGGTTTGATTAGTATTTGTTTTATTGAAAACTTATATTATTTTAAAGGCTTTTTGAAAACTTATCATTTCATCCCCAACACCATTGCAACTTACTAAAATCAATAAGTTCCAATAATTCTAAATTTTATTTTTAAGTTTTAATAGACACTGGAAATTAAAAGAATGATTAGCGTATTTTGACAGCCAAATTAATTCACCTTTCTAATTTTAACATCTTCAGAACAATCGGTTGATGACCACGTTGTTCTTTATCGACCGCTTTATGTTTGCATTGGCCAACATCAACCTGGCTCAAACTGTTGTGACATCGATACAAAATATCTTGGTCATCAAGTTAGTTTTTATTTTAACAAAATATGTCTAATAATTTGGTCAAAAAGAATCTAATATAAGCATGATATGATTTTAAATGGCCAGATGTTTTGGACATGGATCAATGATAATTTTCGATTAATTTAAGATTAAGAAATCCGCATCAATAATTAACAAAAGCGTTTCGCAGTTGACCATTCTGGAGAACGAACAATATTTGGAAAAAGAATCGATGTTTGATGATGATAATTGTTCGCCTAATGAAACTGATTATCAGGAGTCCCTACTATCATTTGATCATTCTTCCCTATCTTCTTGCTAAATTTCAATCACAAATTTTAGATAATTCAAAAAATTTCATTTCCAACTTAATTTACAAGAAAATTCATTTTTTACAAGCAAACGATGAACAAACATGTGTACTTCTTGTTATAAAATTTCTCAAAAAGTGAATTTGAATAGGAGAAAATAACTGAAGCATTACAGAGTTTTTTTTTTTTAATTTCAAGAAATTACATTTTCGTAATGTATATTACAATAAACTCATGCATTTAAAATTTTTAAACTATTTTGAAATTGTTCAAGCTTTTGATGTTTTGTTAAATAAAGCTTTTTGATTTTCTATGAAACACATATACTTTTTACAAACATTTATGCATCAAATATTTAAAATAAAAGTCGAGCGCAATTGTCAATACATACATTGTTATCAGCTAAGATTGATAATGCATGAAATTAAGGAAGTTTGATATATCCATTGATCCAAAAATACGTCATTTAATCGAAATTTCGGAACTCTTATACATTTCCAAATAAGAGAGAGCAAATGTAAGAGACATTTAAAGTCTATGAATATTCCGATGATTTAAAAATTTCACTCACTTTTTAGTCATTGAAAATAGTAACAAAAGAATGTATCCCACTTAATTATTACATTTGAAAAAAAACATGAATATTGCTGATAAATTTTCTGCATATTAAATTGCTCATTAGTATTTCCATTTCAAATTGGAAGTAGGCATTTCTTGCAACTATTTCAAACAAATATGCAAATTTAATGGGAAAAAAAAATCAGAAAGGGAAAAATGGATAAATAACAAAGGAAAAAAGGAAAAAATTGGTGTTGATAATGAATTTTGTTGGTAACAAGTTAACTATTTAATGAAATCATTATGCAAAATTATTCTTCGTTTTCGCAATGCAAAGATCAGAGCTAAGGCAACGAATGCAAACGTTGCCAAAGTGACAGCTAATAGCATTGCTAATCCAGCTGAAATTTGATAAATTGTTTGAAATTTAAATTTGAAAAGAAAAAATTTGTCTAATTTTAACTGTTTGCATGTTAACATTATTATGATATTATCAAATGACACATTATGGAGTGATTGAAATAACTAACTGACAACTAACATGATCGGTTCCTTGACATACCTCAGCAGTTTTCCTTTTCTTCCCTAGACTATTTTACACTTTGTATGCTGATTTCATTCAATTCAAATTCTTAACATACTAAATTTCTCGATGAAATACATTTCAATGAAGCGGAAAAGGGAAAGTTAAGTACGTACCCGTTGAGAAACATGTCCTGGAAGTTATGATTGGACTGAATAATTGATCCAAATTTGATGATTGCATTTCTCCATTATCTGAAAAGAGATGAGTCATGAAAAGAAAAAAAAAACGATTGATTTCCGGTGAATTGATCAATCATCACAAGAAACGGTTTACTAAACAAAAAAAAAGGTGAGCGATGATTTTTTAAAAAAAATCGGGTTTACTTTCATCTTCGAGGTCAAATACCGTTATGCATTGTTCCGGAAGGTCAACGTTAGCAATACGTAACTTTGGTCGCAACATAGCTGCAAGAGCAAATACAAAATGTTAATTGGCTATAAATTTTCATAAATTAAAAGCAGTTTTCTTTCATTAAAAGTGATATTAAGCGAAATGCTGTAATGAATTAATTGGTCCACCAATACAAATTAGAATTCTGAGTATTTGATACTTTTGAGGTGCTAATATAAATGGTGAGGCGAAAAATTATCAATATTAGTAGATATTTTTCGTCAGGCTTTACAGATGATACGGTTGCTATTTCTTTATTGATATTGTTTTGGCTCTCTCAAAGAGACTAAAACTCAGACTCTGGCTTAATTAAGAGTGTTTATGATGATGTCACATATTCAATCTGTGATAACACAAAATCTGAATACTTGTATTTCGCTTTTTTCTAATTAACCGCTTATAAGCGATTCCTTCCTCGGAAAACGCTGTCATTTCTGGTCCTGCCAATTGACCGTATTCTTCTGTATGTGATGCAGTAGAGATATCCTTAAAACAGTCGGAATATTACAAAATCATTCAGTTTTATTAAAATTCACTTTAATCTGGTTTAATTCATCACCTAATTTTACAAAATTAAATCAAACAAAAATGAATTTGGATAGAATTGAAATAAATGATGATTGAAAAAATTACTAATTAATCTTTGCTCAAAATTATTGATTAATAATTACTAATTAATTAATTAATTGCTAAAAATATAATTATTCAATCTTACTTCGTTACTATCAACAGAGTAGACTGATTTTAGAGAAGATTGAAAACGAGATGAATCAGATGATCGAGTTGGAGGAGCCGGTGGACTAGGTGGTAACGGATAAATCACTTCATTACTTTGATACGGTGACTCATTACTTTTGTAATCTGCGTCGGGTGGATCTGAATATTTGAAATGATAAAAGTTCAAATCTAATATTAATGTTTCTTTTTCCAAACCAAAAATTAAATTAATTGCAATCATTACTTGGATAACTTTGCTGCTTGTTATTCTCTTGATAGACAAATGTTTGCGTTCTGAAATGAATTTAAAAGAAAATCTTTACAACTTTTCAAAACCTTAAAAATCATCATTACGCAACAATACTTTAACCTACTCTTCCTCCGCAGCAGCAGCAGCAGCAGCAGCAGGTCGTTCGTAAGTTTGTTCCGATGGTTCTACTCGAATTTGACCTTTGCAAACTGGTCGCTGGAAAATAAAATTTCTTCATTTATTAAATAATGTTAATAAACAATATGAATAAAGACTTAGAGCTGAAATTCAAAAAATGAAATTAAATGAACAATTGTTGATGATAGTTGGGTAATATCAAACTTCATTTGCGCAGCTAAACTGGTGATCTTTAATGGTCAGTTCTAGTTGACAATTGAAATAAAGTGCTGGACGATCGGCAAATTTGAAAACATGTGATTCTTGTCCAGCTGTTAGATCATCTATATATTCCAAATCCAGCAATAAATACTTATCCACTGAACACCTGGAAAACTTCCATTTAGAAATAGTAATTTAGAAGTCTCGTTGCATTTCTTTTTTTACGCTTTTTCACGTCAAATACGGCTGTCTCTTGCATTAACATTAATTGATTAACTTTTATTTTTTGATGTCAATTCTTAATACATTCTTTCTCTTCTTAAATTGCTTGAAAATATAATAATTTGCTTATTTCTGTTTCATTAAAAACTCAAATTTCATCCCTCCAATCCTGATAGGATCATTTAAATAGTCAACAAAACTCGATAAATTGTCCTGAAGATGGTCCTGTTCTAATCAATCATTCCTCTAATGATATTTTTAGTACAGTACGGAGAATATACGAGATAGCAGAATGAGAATGAGAGGAATTTCAAAAGTTTTTTAATGTAATTCTCAAATATGCCAATAGAATGGAAGGAAAATTTTAGTATAATATATTGGTTGGAAGATGTATGTGTGTGTGTGTGTGTATGTGTGTGTGTATGTGTGTGTCTGGTGTTTGTGTGTATGTGTGTGTGCATGTATGTGTCTGGCGTCTGTGTGTATGTGTGTTTACCTTTTGAATTTTATTCTCAACTAACATCAAAATCTTCCCTCTAACGAAAAGTCTGTGCAAATTTCAATAAATACAAGTAAAGTTTTCCTCTTTTTTCTTTTTTTCATTTTTTTTATCGAAAATAAATATAATAATTAAGTGTAATTAACACCGAAACTTTTTTCTTTTTTTGTAGCCTTTCAAAATAACTTTCAAATTAATTTATTCGAAATTTCAAGACTTATAAAATATGCGAACCCTTTTTTGTCAAGAACTGCGACCACTTCACCACCTTGCCCATCGCTTACAGTACAGGTGTGCACTCTCATGCAGTACAGACCTTTTGTTTCCGATAAACATGTCCATCTATGATATACACTATCACCAACTTTTGCATATCGTACCTTCACTCCTGCTGCACTTCCGCCAAGGATTTCATACCTGAAAGTATTTTTAATAGGTAATATTTGAAAAGTTTACATGTAGGCTAATTTTAATAAACGGATTTATGGATAAATTTTTAAGCAGTTTGAATTTCAATTAATTTTTTATGAATAGAATTTTAAATTAATTACACGAATGTAAATGTTTCATTTGTTGAAAGTTTGCCTTACCTGCAAATTGGCATTTGCGTCTGACGTTGTAACTCCACCGTTGTCATCATGCTGCAAATAAAAATTTTTTTTGCAACATTTCTTGAGATTTACATAACTCAATTGATTAAAATATCAAAAAGTCTCATACTTATATCTTTAAAGTAATTTGAACCATTTGTGCGGTCACACACAATTACTAATTAATGATACCATCAAACTTGTCACTTTCATAATAAAGTAATTGATTACCTGATTTCTAGTTGTTGACTAATCGTCTTTGAAGATTCCATGTAAAAGCAATTGAGACGATATGCTCGATCTACTTTGGTCAAGAAAATCTGAATTTTTATTTTCACTGAATTTAATTAATTGAGAGGAAATATTGCAATATCTATTTGCAAAATAATTACAAATAACTGAGTGCATCAAAAAAAGAAATGAAAAACAAAAACGAAAAAAAACATTATGCAATTAATTTTGCAATTATTACAAATATTTTTAAATGAAAATACCGGATGAAAAGATACGATGACCGTTGTTGTGATCCGAATGCCATTATACTGAAATGAATCATAACAGGTAATTTTGCTGTCAACCTATTTTTCTTCTTCTGGTCCACTCTGTCTACAATAATTAAAAAATGTTTAATTCAAACCTCGCGTGAACGACGTAACCCGCACTGATTGAATTTTATCGTAAATTTATGTCGTTCGTGATTGTTGCCAACCTTAAAGTAATTTGACTAAAAAAAAACTTTTTTTCATGCTATAATATTAATAAATGCAATATTTTGTTGCCTTAAATATAATTTGAAGTGTCATTTTAAGTTTTACATTTTTTAATGAAAAATTAAAACTATTTTGGGAAAGGTTTAATATTAATTGGTTAAATTATTGAGAATTTAAAAATTGATGAGAATTTATGTCCCAAAAATGATAATAAAGTGGAAATTTATTACTGTTCTGAACATCATTTGGCAATATCACTGGTGAAACATTTGATTTTCCCTTAAAGCGTATGTTATTGACTCTTCACTTCGTTTAATTAGTCTTTGACTAATTAGGAATAATTACCTGAATGCAATTGCTATCCTGAATATAGCCTTTAACAAATGTTCGACCGCTAAAAGGCTTCAGTGTCGAAAAAATGATTGATATACTATCCGAATCGCATTCAATGCTCGGTTTGTCTGCATAATTTTGATTTTTCATTTGTTTTTTTTTTAGGTAAATTAATTTGTCATATTTGGAATAAAAAAAATTTTGGAACTTTATTTTATGCATTTGTAATTTTTGGAAAATACCTGAGATTGAATTATCGATCGGAATACCGATAATTTTCTGCAGAACCTAAAATAATTCCAAAACTAAAGTTATCTTCCTTCTTGAATTTGATTTTCCAAAAATTTGAACTTTATATTTCACTAAATTGTTTAAATGAAATACAAGACGTAAAATATTTACAATTAAAAATCACTAACAATATTCAAACATTTGCATAAAAATATGCATTTTTAGTTTTTCATTTTTTTTCTCCTTTTATGCATATTAATCAAACTCTTTGCTATATTACTGACAAAAAAATTTCACAAAAATCACGATGTTTACTTTATTAAAAACATTAGAAAAAAGAAGAAAAATCAATTTTTTGTTGCAATTATTGTTAAAATTATAATATAAATGACATATTCGACCAGCGTAAGAATTAATTTTTTGTCAATGTTGCAAGTTTTGGCAATGACATTGACAAAGAAAGTTGACAAATGAAAGATGAAAAATCATGACATTGTTATGTTTGCTTAATTTTAATTTCAATGTTAATAATATTTAAAGGCTAATATATAATTTTACAAAGTCCATGGCTATGCGACATTTGAATATAATTGATAAATTATTCTCATTTGATTTATATATTAGTATTTTCACTAGAAAATTTTCTTTTTGCCCAGATCAATATTCGTGATTGGAATACTGATGATATGTTAATCGGTAATGAAATGGTTGATGTAAGTTTGCAAGATCAAAACTCGTGAAAGAATTAATCAAGTGATACCGATGTTGATCAATGATTACATCAATGTATCGTTATCAATATTTAACAAGTCCTTTTGTTGCATGATTTTCTATCAGAGAATAACCGAAGTATTTCATTTTTATTCTTCCATAAAATGATAATGCAGCTCATAGAAGTTTTCGTTTGTCTAATAATACAACATAAAGCATAATTAATGCTTCTTTGATCTCTTTAACAATTTTTCCCTTTCTTGAAATTCAATTTAGCTTTTAATTTACCGGATACAAAATTTTACGGCTATCATACTTTAGATTTTAGGAGTCCAAAATTTGACATTCAAATTAGGCTAAGTTTACGGTTCAGAATTATACAAAGAGCTTAAAAATATTAGAGAATAACGATGTAAATTGGCAAATTTTTAACTTCAGATATATTAGGAGATAATTTTCTTAAAATATTGGAAATTGCGTAAAATGGGATTTATAATATAAAATTTTATATTTCAAATTTGTACTGCTAATATTTCCATTTCGTGACATTATTTATTGCATTTATTTTACACTGACATGTATGCAAAATTATGTCCATATGAATATTTTTTTAATTCATACGTAAAATTCTTACTATCTGTTCTAGTGCGTACGTGATGTGAGATATACGTGTTGTATACGTGTTGTTTCTGATTGCATTGTTGATAGAGCAAACAATAAAACATAATATATGATGCCAGAATGGTTATAGTTATAAGTAATTAATTTTCGATAACTAGAAATAATTGCCGGAAGTGTTCGCAAGATGATATGATAACAATAAAACTACTGATTTTTAATTTTATAAATCCCTTACTTGTTCTCGAATATGAATTTATGATGATTGGATGAATTGGATGAGTTTAGAAAGATTCACATCATTTTTATATATTCAAATTATAACGTTTCAAAATGCAACAATAAGAAAATGAAATTAAATTGACATTATTTAAAAAAAAAAACAATAAAATAATGAGAAAATAACGAAAAACAATGACAAAAAGTTTTGGAAAGTATGGATTCACTAATTACAAACATAATTTTTAATTATCCAAAATTTTAATTGAATTTCTGACTATCTTCATCAGTTATTGACAACGTTTATGATTAGAAATTATACCATTTGATGATAAATAAATTGGAAGGAAGAAATATTAAAGATAGAAAAAATATTGTTTAATAACAAAAGCTATTAAATAATCCATAACTTCATTGCGATAGTTGAAAAATGTTGAAATTTATTTTTCTATTTTTGAAAATTCTTTTCACTGAATTTTCTTTTTCCTTGCTATACATCACTAATAATTTCGTTTTTCGTTTTCCCTCTCTTAGGATGGTACTAATAGCAATACCATTGATGATACATAGTGCTATCACTGATGTCATCATTTGATATTTTCTGAAGCTCTGTTTTGAAAAACAAGCAAATTACATTTAAGTTGATTGTCTTATTTTTTTTTTTCGGGAGGGGGTAGTAATTATTGTAAAGGACATCTCAGATCACTTTGGACTTTCTAACCAGCAGAATATGCAGGACAAAAGGGATAGGTCACTACATAAAGTGAAATCTTGTATTGAAAGAGGTTTAACTTCTTCATTTACTACAGCATTGGCTTCGGATTTTTTCCCTAAGTAATGAATCCAGTTGAACAGAAGTTTCCACTGAGATGGAAAAGCAAAGATTCTGTGGTTGAAACAGATGCTGTAAGTAGGTATCTGCTATAATAAGTTATCCAAAATAGGCTAGTTGAATTTTATTGATTTAGTCCCCAGATTTATTAACATTCATCTTTTAAGATTAAATACCCACAAAAAAAAGTAGAGAATTCTGTACGATGAGACCGGTTCTAAATACAAGAAAAATGAGGAAGCTATTCAGAAGACAGGTTTGGGCCATTCAATAAAATTTTATGATTTGACTTTTTTCAATTTTTTATATAGTATTAAAATATTTAAAGTCAATAATATCCGTTGAATAGATGGGAAGGTCAAATCCTGTTCTTGTAAAGGTAACAGCATTTCGAATAATTTTACCTTTCAGCTTCATCTATTATTGTTATCAAATTAGCGAAGTATCCTGTGAAATATTTGTCCCTCTTTTCATAATAAAAATTCAGATGCAAAAAAAACTGAAGAAGTTTAACTTTGAGGATTCAAATGCAGGATTTGAACTTTACAATTCTTGAATTCTTATTAAAATTTCATTTCATAATTTTACAATAATGAATAATTCCTTAACAAACTGTTACTTCTATAATTATTACTTAAGAAATTACAATAAATGTTGACTTTACATACCTGTGAAAGCATAAATAGCAAAACTGTGTGGCGTTTGCTACTCATCGGCTGAAAATTAAACCTAAATGAATAAAGCATGTGAATTTTCAACACGAGTAGACAATTAAAATTAAAATTTGGAAGAAGAAAGTTTCTTTTCCTTTCTCAATGATCATTTCTGAACTGAAATATCGTTGTTAAACCGAAATCTCATAACAGTTTCACACTTTTTGCGCAAAATGAAGATAATGAAAGAGAGTAGCAGAGAAAGAAAAAGGGAGGAAAGAGAAAATGAATATAAAATTAGAATAAATTAAGCGAACAAACAACCTTGAAACTTTAATGATAAATTCCGTTAACAATACAATAGAGAAAGCGATGAAAGAATCAAATTTGTATTTAAATTATAAAACATTTCTGAGCGATAACTGGAATCCACCAAAAAAAAGTTGCCGATTTGAACGATGAAAAAGAAAGCAGATAAAATTTAACTTTCCCTTTTTATTGAAATTTTCTGCAATCAAATGACCAGAACTCAACAAAAACTACTCATAAATACTTTCAAGGTAAAAATGAAAATGAGCCATCAAATGGAGCAAGTTTTTAGCATCATCATTTTAAGGCGGAAAAAAACCCATTATGAATTATAATATGTGAAAGTAGCCATTTTTCCAGAAATAACAGTTTATGTACAAATTAAAAATTTAAATATCGCAAATTTTTAGAAATCATTTTAAGCAAATATTATGTCTAAATTGATTTTCATTTTCACATACCAGTTTTTATGAATTGAAAGAAAGAGACAATGATTGCATAGCTTTCTTTGGCTTTGGATTAAATTTGATTAATTGCAATTTTAAATTCTTTCCATTCTTTCAAGTTCTATTATTAACTCCGTTATATTTAAAGATAATTTCTTTTTTAAAACAGCTAACAACTTTTTTCTTTCTGAAGTACCAATTTCCTTTTTCTTTTTCAGACTTTTCAAAACATTGTAATAAATGTAATGGTAAATTTATATTTGATGAAAATATCGTAGTTTAAAAGTTTTTAAAAATCATATTTGCAATGTTATCAATGTTATGGATGTCCTGAAAATAATTACATATAAAAATTTATTGTATAAGCAGTTTTATGCATATGAAAAAGAAGGTGTGAAAAGTTATAAATGTTCATTATTTGAAGTAATTAAAGGTGTTTGATAAATATTTCATATGACTCAGTTAAGCAATTTAAAGAATTGGGCACACTTAGATGAAATGGAAGGACAATATGAGAAATAATAGAAGCATTACGGAATGGTATTTTTTCGATTTTGTAGTATTTCTAAAAATTTGTTGCCAATTAATTACAATATTAATTTCTGATGTAATTTGCCGGAAAGAATTATAGCATTATTATCGACGATAATGCTACTATATTATTATTATTATTATTACTATTACTATTATTATTATTATTATTATTATTATTATTATTATTATTATTATTATTGTTATTATTATTATTATCATTATTATTATCATTATTATCATTATTGTTATTATTATTATTATTACTATTATTATTATTATTATTATTATCATTATTATTATTATTATTATTATTATTA